ATTTTTAGTGTTTTTCTTTACTACAATCTAGCAGTAAAACATACTGTCTATAATTCTGTCATATGAAGTGGTGTAGATGTTCTCATGTTGGTTAATTTCTTTTTTGCATTTCAGACTGAATGAAAATCCATCTACTATTTTTAAATATATTGATAAGTGCATCTTAAGTATCTTAAGTGTGATTTTTCTCATAATGATATACGATATTGAGTGCTCTACATTCAGAGAGAAAAATTCTTTTGATGAAACATTTTGTCTTCCATTGTAAATAATCCTTTGTAAATAGTCCAAAATACGTTTTGTAAACGGGTCATCACGCATTCTTTTCTCAATCTTTTAATGGGATTCAATATTTAAGAATTAATTTCTTCCTGCAGTTTTTATGAAGCCACTGTTGTCATTAAAGCACATTCCAAATTCTTTTCCTTACTTTGAAATGATGTATGGTACTTTTAGTAGTTTGGATAAGTCAGATCTCCTGTCTTAATTGTAAACAATATTTTATAACTAGCTCTTCTTATGTTTTGTGAAGTTTATCATCTGTACAATCTTGTGATACATACGAATTCAAATGCACTTTTTTCCTGCAACATTCATGAAGCTACTGTTAAAGGAACTTCCAACTTATTTTTCTTATTTTCAAAAGATCTACTTCAAATAGTAACTCACAAGTAAAAGACCTCACACTCTCTTGTCAATATAACTTGCCTAAAAATGACGAAAAAATTATTTGACTTTTTGAAGATTTTTTGAAGTAAAGCAAAGCAAGTGTCAACAGTCATTCTAAGTGGTTACATGTGCACATGTGTCATTTTGGTTTATAGGTGAATCAGTATCAGTGCTGGTGTGAGGGAACACATAGTTATGGAGACTGTGAGACAATCAGTGTGACGTCAATATATACTTAGAACTTAACCTCACATAAATGATGACGCAATAAGTTCAATTTGACCTTTCAAATCTGTGACATGTCAGTCCTCATTAATTTAAGTTTGAAACTCTTTTTTTGGTGCAGTTGAAGTATTTTTTTGTCACTCACACACGGGAAGTTTTTTCTTAGTTGCATAACATTTTATAAGTAAGACTTATGCAGTGGCTCCAAAGTGAAAAAAAAACAGTTGAAAGTTTATGCTCATAACTTTCTGTTCATATTGGATAGTTTCTTTTTATTTGCAATACTTTTGTATGGACATTAGTATTGAGATCATTTTACAGTGGCTTCAAAGTAAGAAAATAAACCTGTAATTATTTGTTGGCTACTTATCATATTATTGTTTAATG